CCCCAAAACCCCAAAACCCCAAAACCCCAAAACCCCAAAACCCCAGAAGAGGATATCAGAGTTGAATGCTAGAGGTATTAACTTTCTGCCGGGAGTTTTGTAAATGTGTTAAAAATTACCCCCTTACCATGAATTTCGATATGGTTTAGTCCGTGTTTATCTCTGAGATCACTCCATTCTTCAGAAGTGAGGTCTCCATCAATCCATATCTTCTCTAAAGAGTTCTCTAGAGAAGATCCTTTGATAAGCCCAAAGATGGCCTCAATCAATGGGGATTTTTGTGAGAAATATGATCCTTCTATAAAATATATCAAATCTGGAGAAATCCCTTTATGATAAAGCTTACCTATATCAGAGCAAAGGCAGAGTTTGAAAGCTTTTAGCTCAACACCGAATAATTTCTTTATATTCAAATTATCTTTATATGAACTCTTTGAGTCTACTTTTGGACAATCAATCAAACAATTATTTAGCTCAAAATTGTATCATTTACACAAAGCTGAGACTACCTTGACCACTTGCTTATAAGTGACCTTCATCCTTCAGAGTTTGAAGGAAGAGGTGACCCTAGGAAGGATTTTAGCCAGTGATGGAAGTCAGGAAGAGATTGTACAGAATTTTGTGAAGGAAATGGTCTGGATTTTTAAGTTTGGGAGGAAAGGGAAGTTGAGACGGGAGAGGCAGGATTGGAGGTGGGATTGGTGAAGGAAGAGATTGATGTAGCATTTGTGGAGAATTAGATCGCTGATTGGCAGAATGTCTCGACGTGAATCGAGATAGAACTATATGTTGTATAAGTTGTTGTAAACTGGACCTACTATTTTCTTCCCAACATTTAACAATCAGTCTATTTCCTTGTCTGAAATTTTTATAGTCTGGCAAAAGGCTACAGTTTGAGAGACTAATTCCTGTTCTTTGGCTGCTTTTGAGAAGGCCTTAGAGTCCATTTTAGAGGAGTTAAATTAAAATTAAGAATTTTTGATTAGGCAGGGGTTTTGGGGTTTTGGGGTTTTGGGGTTTTGGGG